CATCCTGAGACATGTCCCTCATCCTGTGGACCAGTCTGACAGCGTCGTGTGAGTCTGTGAGACCTTAGGAAGCAACAGTCAACTCCAGGGGCGGACTGACAACCCATGGGGCCCCGGGCAATAGGGGATCATGGGGTCCCTGCGACATCACCCACACTCAAACCACACCCAAAAAAGTCTATGAAAGGTACTAGGGGCATCTCATGGGGCCCCCTACTGACCCTGGGCCCTCAGGCAGTGCCCGAGTGCCCAAATGGTCAGTCCGCCCCTGGTCAGCTCCCACGTGCAATATGGCAGTGCCAGGGATCTGAAGCCCATTGAAGAATCGGATGGAATCCTAGGCTGATAATTACCTGATTGTTAAAAGTCAGCAGCTACAGTATTTGTATCTGCTATTATTTTTCTAAACAAGACTGAAGTTCCTCTTTAGGTGTCATGAGCTGTATGCCACTTTATGTATTATAGTACTTGTTTTAATATGTACATTTTCACTGAGGCTGGATAGTAAATCTCCTGTTATACTTCCAGTTCTGCCCATCCTCTTCACCTGCCCATTCACAGAATGCTTTGTATTCTGGTAAGCATTCACAGAACACCTTGTATTCTGGTAAGCATTCACAGAACACCTTGTATGTTGGTAACCATTCACAGAATGTCTTGTATTCTAGTAACCGTTCACAGAATGCCTTGTATTCTGGTAACCATTCACAGAATGCCTTGTATTCTGGTAAGCATTCACAGAACACCTTGTATGTTGGTAACCATTCACAGAGTGTCTTGTATTCTGGTAACCATTCACAGAATGCCTTGTATTCTGGTAACCATTCACAGAACGCCTTGTATCTGGTAACCATTCACAGAACGCCTTGTATTTTGGTAACCATTCACAGACTGCTTTGTATTCTGGGTACCATTCACAGAACAGCTTGTATTTGGTAACCAGAATGCTTTGTATAGTGTGAACCAATTCACAGAATTCCTCGTATTCTGTGAATCCATTTACAGATCGCTTCGTATTCTGTGTAACCATTCATAGAATTCCTCGTATTCTGTTATCATTCACAGAACGCCTCGTATTCTGGGGCACAGAATGCCTTGCATTCTGTTATCATTCACAGAACACTTGTATTCTGGGAACCATTCACAGAATGCTTTGCATAGTGTGAACCAATCACATAATACTTTGTACCCTGCAAACCATTCACAGATCATTTGCATTCTGGACACCATTCATACACACTGTGTATTCTGGTAACTGTTTTCAGAATGTTTTGTATTCTGTGAACTATTCACAGAATGCTTTGTATTTTGGTAGCCATTCACAAAACCCTTTGCATTTCGGGAACCATTCACAGAATGTATTTTCTTCTGGTAGCCATTCAAAAATACTTTGCATACTGGGAACCACTCAAAGAAAACGTTGTTTTCTGGTAACCATTTACAGAAAGCCTCATATACTGGCAATCATTCACAGAAAGTCTTGTACTTTGGGAACCATTCACAGAATTCCTTGTATATTGGTAACCATTCACAGAATGCTTTGTATTCTGTGTTCCATTCAAAAAATGCTTGGTATTCTGGGAACCGTTCACATAACATTTTACATTCTGTGAACCATTCGTGTAACGCTTTGTATTCTGGGAACCATTCATGGAATAAAAAGTGTTCTTTGAATGGGCAAGGGCAGGGGCGGACTGACAACTCATGGGGCCCCCCGGGCAATAGGGGATCATGGGCCCATGTGTCCTTGCCCAAACTCAAAAAAAAACCTGTGAAAAAGGTACCAGGGCATCTCATGGTGCCCCCTACTGACCCGGTGCCCGCGGGCAGTGCCCGAGTTTCCAAATAGTCAGTCCGCCCCTGGGCAAGGGAAAACTAGGGGTGGACAAGCCACACTGTGACTTTTATGGTTTAGAACTGCAGTTCTGCTATTGCAGTGCTGGAAGTCTAGTTAGAGCTGTACTATCTATTCTCAATTTAAGCGTATGCATTGAAGAATGTACAACAATACTCCAAGTGGCATACAACACATTACACTTAACTTTTATTTACTCTGCAGGTTTAAAAAAATGTTGCAATGTCCCTCTGGTCAAAGAGCAGGAACTACTGCCATTGGGAAATGTGGCTGTTTTGGGGGGGTGTAGTGTAGGTGTCAGACTGAGCTCCAATGAAGGCATCATTAAATACACATACATAATACAATTATCTGACCAGTGTGACATGTTGATGAATTAAACCCTTTATGTGTGGAGGAAAACCAGTTACTGGCAATAGCACAGACTCCCTGTGCCATATAAAATGTATTGCTTGTTAACAGCGGGATAATTAAAGGTAACACAAATTACAAGTCTGCTTGGATTTAACCTAATCAGTAACAGAGATGGCCTTGCATTATACTGAACTTTCCAATTTGCTTGTTTACTGTGCATGTATAGCCAAAACGTTTTAAACTATGAATAGAGCAAGAGAAGAGTTAAAATCCCTGTTAATGTATTTTTGCCTGTCCATGTACCATTGGGAAATTCTCCTACACTCCCTGCCCCGGAGACACAACAGGAAGTTGAAGGAAATTTCTCAAAGTAAAATGAATGCCTCTCTTAGAGGGCTGTGCCCAAAACAGGTGTCCCCTTTGGAAGAGTTTCCTTCACTCCTTGTTCTAGAGACAACTTTAAAATTTTTGATTTTTTTTGTCACTTTCTCAGTGACAAAGAACAGCAGTACAAGGAAAGGGATGAATCTTCACAACCGAAACATCCCAAAAATTGAATCTCACATCATGTTTGGTACAACACACAATGGACATGCCATGCAGGGCCGTGGATAGGGGGTACTACCAGTCTTCCTGTACGGGGGCCCCGGCCAGCAGGGGGGCCCAGGCAGCTGGGTGAATGAGATGTGGGCAGGGAGGAAGAGCAGCATAGTGGTGGGGGGCAATTACTGGAACCAATCCCTTGTATGGCTCTCCCTGCAGCAGTTGTAAGCTGACTTCTTCTCTTCTCACCAAACCCCCCCCCCCCCTTCTGGCTTTCAGCTGCTGCAGAGAGAGACATACAGGGGATCGGTTCCAGTAATTGCAAACCCCCCCCGGTACACCCATCACCCTCCCTGTGCACCATACATTTCCCCCTATTCCTAAGGCTCCATGTGCCCCCACCCCACAATGTTGCCGGCTTCCCTCCTCTCCTTTCCACCAGCAGCTGCAAGCACACAATAGGATTCTTCAATATGAAGAGTTGGAGAAAGTTCTGGTAAATATATTACATTTACCAGCCCTTTCCTGAAGGAACACGAGTGATCAGTACTGATCACTCAGTGTGTTCATTCACAACTGAAGCATAGTAAACTGATTTTTTTTTGTGGGAATGGGGGGCCCTGTCAGATTGGCTGTATGGGGCCCCATGGTTTGGGGTTTCTGTCAGGTTGGTTGTAAGGGGCCCCGTGGTTTCTAACAGCAGCACCTGATGCCATGTGTAGGACATATTATGTGGGACATGCTGTGTGTAGGACATATTGTGGAGGACATGTTATGAGTAGGACATGCTATGTGGAGAATATGGTATCTGGAGAACGCTATGTAGGACATGCTGTGTGTAGAACATATATGTAGGACATACTGTGAATTACATGCTTTGTTGAGCACGTTATGTACAGAGCATGCTGTGTAGGACATGCTGCATGGGGCATGTTGTGTAGGACATACATGGATTGAAATTCAGGTGGTTCAGCAGGGACTGGCTGAATTTTAAACCAGAAATGGGCACCCTGGTTGATTGACTTCTGTACAACCAGCCTGCTGGGTTTTTCCTGATCACTTGCTATAGTCACAGGAAGATTCCTTCATCCACATTGAATGTGGAGACGGAGGAATTGATTCTTTTTTTTCAACCTGCAGGTGGAAAATGAAAAAAAAAAGGTGATGAATGTATGGGCTGCCTAATGTGTATGTCATGTTATGTGAAGGACATCTTATGTACAGGACATGCTATATGTAGGACATACTGTGCAGGACATGCCTTGTTGAGGACATTTTATGTGGAGGAAAAGCTAAGTGCAAAAAATGCTATGTGTAAGACATGTTATGTGGATGACATGCCATGTAGGACATGCTATGTGTACATCATGTATGGGACATGCTATGTGTAAGACATGTTACATGTTGGACATGCCATGTGTAGCATATTTTATGTGCTGGACATGCCATATGTAGGACATGTTATGTGGAGGGCATCACATGTGTAGGACATGTTATGTGGAGGACATGCCATATATAAGACATGTTATGTGGAGGACATCCCATATGTAGGACATGTTATGTGGAAGACATCCCATATGTAGGACATGTTATGAATATATAATGCTATGTGTAGGACATACTATGTATATATAATGCTATGTGGAGGACATGCCATATGTAGAACATGCTATGTATAGATAATGCTATGTGTAGGACATGCTATGAATATGTTATCCTATACATGCCATGTTATGTGGAAGACATGCTATGTATGTCATGGTATACATGCCATTTAATGTGGAGAACATACTATGTGTATGAGTAGGACATGCCATATGTATGAATATGGTATGTGTAGGTCATGCTATATATGACATTCTATGTATATGCCATGTTATGTGGAGGACATGCCGTATGTAGGACATGTTATGTATATGTCATGCTATGTATATGTCATGTTATATGTAGGGCATGCTATAGACACCCACTCCTGGCCAGAGGCAAGACATCTGATAGCAGCCACTTGTTGATCTCTTTATGGGATGGGGAGGGGATACCCATTAGGTGATCAGACACTCGCTGGAAGGAAGGACGGCTTTAATTTGAGTGGGGGAGGGGAGGAGGTCATTAGAGCAGCTGATAAAACTCATCACCTTCCCCGGCCGTCCTCATCATTAGCTGCTCCCTTCCTCTAGCATGTGTCCAGTGTTGGTGTTCGGGCTTCTCCTGGTGTCATGTGCCGGCCAGGAGTTCGGAGAGTATTGCCATGGATGGAGCGATCTTTATGGGGGATGGCACCCCGGATTCCAGTGCCCGGAGCGCTATGACCCCCCAGAGGCCACCTACTGCTGCGGATCGTGCAGCCTCCGCTACTGCTGTACGGCCAGCGAGTCCAGACTGGACCAAGGAGAGTGTCCCAACGAGGAGCGGGGCGAGGAGCCCGGGGAGCGAAGCCCAGCCCTACCACTGCCCGGCACGGGTAAGTCAGCAGCTGGATATCAGCCATGAAATCCTCCCCGATCAACCTAGATTCATGGTGGTCAGCTGGGTATCATCCATGGATCCCCCCATCACCCCAGATCTGAGGTCAGCTGGGTATCATCCATGGATCCCCCCATCACCCCAGATCTGAGGTCAGCTGGGTATCATCCATGGATCCCCCCCATCACCCCAGATCTGAGGTCAGCTGGGTATCATCCATGGATCCCCCCCCATCACCCCAGATCTGAGGTCAGCTGGGTATCATGCATGGATTCCCCCCCCCCATCACCCCAGATCTATGGAGGTCAGCTGGGTATCATGCATGGATTCTCTCTCCACCCCCAATCACCCCAGATCTATGGAGGTCAGCTGGGTATCATGCATGGATCCCCCACCATTCACCCCAGATCTATGGAGGTCAGCTGGGTATCATGCATGGATTCTCTCCTCCACCCACGATCACCCCAGATCTATGGAGGTCGGCTGGGTATCATGCAGGGATTCCTCCCCACGATCACCCCAGATCTATGGAGGTCGGCTGGGTATCATGCAGGGATTCCTCCCCACGATCACCCCAGATCTATGGAAGTCGGCTGGGTATCATGCAGGGATTCCTCCCCACGATCACCCCAGATCTATGGAAGTCGGCTGGGTATCATGCAGGGATTCCTCCCCACGATCACACCAGATCTATGGAGGTCAGCTGGGTATCCTGCATGGATTTCTCCCCCCGATCACCCCAGATCTATGGAGGTCAGCTGGGTATTCTGCAGGGATTCTTTCTCCAACCCCCCAGATCTATGGAGATCAGCTGAGTATCATGCATGGATTCCTCCAACCCCCTCCCCAATCACCCCAGCTCTATGGAGGTCAGCTGGGTATCATGCATGGATTCCTTCCCCCCCGATCACCCCAGATCTATGGAGGTCAGCTGGGTATCATGCATGGATTCCTTCCCCCCCGATCACCCCAGATCTATGGAGGTCAGCTGGGTATCATGCACGGATTCCTCCAACCCCCTCCCCAATCACCCCAGCTCTATGGAGGTCAGCTGGGTATCATGCACGGATTCCTTCCCCCTGATCACCCCAGATCTATGGAGGTCAGCTGGGTATCATGCATGGCTTCCTCCCCCGATTACCCCAGATCAGGGGTGGACTGACAAATCATGGGGCCCCTGGGTAATAGGGGATCATGGGGCCCCTGTGTCCTTGCCCAAACTCTAAGCCTATGAAAAAGGTACCAGGGGCATCTCATGGGGCCCCCTACTGACCCTGGGTCCTTGGCCAGTGCCCGAGTTTCCAAATGGTCAGTCCGCCCCTGCCCCAGATCTATGGAGTTCAGCTGGGTATCATGCATGGATTCCTCCCCCCGATCACCCCAGATCTATGGAAGTTTGCTAGACTCCTTGTCCCCTCCAGGCTAGGAACACACTTCCCTTTAATACAAACTTATTATTATTGTTGTATTGCTCTCAAACTGACTTATTTTTTTTTTTTTTTTTTCCCCACCAGAAAGTTCTAAAATTCTTAGTAATTAGATGTCCATTTAAGATCCACTGTATCCCCTAACATTTAGAGGAGGCACACTATTACATAGATAATATCAGCAAAGTCCTGCACTGTAGAGCTTCATTTAGATTTGGAAGTGCATGGTATTGTAGCAGAGCCCATGCTCCTCTTTGATTTTAGAATGGATGTGTTGAGTATACGTGTTCCAGCATTGAAAAATCTGTCGCCCCCCCCCCCCCCCCCATTTGTTTCTTTTGACAATGTGAGCCCCATTCACACCTGAGCATAGCTGGGCTGTTTAGAGGCTTTTTTTTGCATTTTGTAGCCCAATTCTGCGGTTTTGACTCCATAGACTTTTAAATGGAAACCTGTATAAACTGTTTTTCAGGCACTCCTTTTAAAGTCTATGGGGCCAAAAAAAGTTTGACTCTGCCAGAATTATGTGCAACAGGCTACAAGGGACACAAGACTGAGGAGTGAACAGGCTGACCAAGAGTAATGGGAGTCTTCATCTTGGATGTAGTTGCACTTTGGGAATTGCGCAGCTTAACACTCAGGTTTAAATGGGGGCTAATGCCAGCCATAGATGGATTAAAATTCAGCCAAATTCCATTCATGAGCAGACTGGTTTTACAGAAGTCGATCTCTTAATTGACTTCTGTTCAACCAACCTGTCTTTAAAGTTTTGCTTGATCAGGGCTGCTGGCTCTAGCCAGTGGTGCTGATAAACGTGTTCTGACAGTGGGGAAGTTTCCTCGCTGTCAGAATCAATTGGCTCAATGAGAGTTATTCTCCCATCCAGTGTGTTTGAATGGGGGAATCGATTCATTTTCTTTTGTTTAACCCACTGGTTGAAGAAAATCATGTGTCTAGTGTAATAGTACTTTCACTGTACATCCATAATTGTCATGTATGGGAACATTGGATCGATTGAGGGAGGCTATTTCTGTTGAGCTGCCTGTCATTGGGGGGGGGGGGGGGGGGTCTAGAAATGTCTGTGGAAATTGTTTAAATGCAATGTTTAGTAGTGTCTGCTACACTTAATATAATAAGGTGTGGTGATCCACTGTAACTCTTAATTACAACCAATGCAGAGATAGCAGTAGATACCAAGTGCTCATATGGGTTTTGGGGGACAGGAATTTTACCTCTTGGTGAAGCTGTCTTTTACATCTGCTCCTCATAACCCACTAAGCAAAATATTTACTGTCATGTTCTGGAGATCTTCAGTTTGTAGCAATGGTGCTGTATAAAGTCCTTGATCGTTTCTGGGCCACATGCCTCATTCATTCCTACAACTGGGTCTGTACTCTTTGATGGCATTACCACAAGCATAGGATAACTATGACAATTATTGTGGTTACAGGTGCAGGGACCAGCCATTTCTCCCTCCACCCCCCCCCCCTTTCCCTCGAAAAGGCTGTTTGGCGCAGAGCCTTGCAGTAAAGGTCTCCGGTGTGTTTGTTGTACAAGCTTTTATAATTTTATTATTTCTTTTTCTTAGTGCCTACCTACCTCCCCTTCCTCCTGGTTGGCAGTATGTTTGTGACCTTTGTTGTTGTGGGCTCACTCGTGGGGGTATGCTGCTGCAGATGTCTGAAACCTGAAGAAGGGACACAAATTGGTGCTCCTGCCCAACAAAGCCGTCTCCTGGACACAGAAGCATCTGACACATCAAGACATTCCAGTTCAAGCTCCACCGCTGCACCTCGTGGCTCACTCGGCAACAATCCTCAAAACCTCTGTTCTTTAGGCCCTGAAAATATGAATTTGTATATGAATATGCCAACCGCTTTTCCCATCATGGCTTGTCCACCAAATGCTCAGTTTATGCATCCTGCCAATACACCATCACCTTTCTTACAACCGCCATTCATCAATTATGCTGTGCCATCAGATCATGCTATAATAATGACCCCAGCCTCTTACATTGATACCAGGAATTGCTACCCACATTCTACCAATAACTACCTTCCACTGAACCAGCATATTGACCTACCTGTGACAGATGAGGCAGCTGCCAAGTGCTGAGCCTGTGGGGTGTCTAGACTCTGGTAGTAGACTGAATACTACATGGACAGTAGATTGGCTTTTCTTAAAATTTTTGCATATGAGCTACCCAGCTAGCCATTTGCTCTTTACATACATTTTTTTAAATTTTTTTTTTTTTTTATGGACCGTTTTCTCCAAAGAGGTCCTGAATGTCTCAAATGTAAGTGGCTTGGAATGATGTTTGAACTGTACACTGACACACCATTCAGGAGAATCAGCAATCAGAGTGACTGTTTACATTTTTAAACCAAGAGACTTCTTGGAATATTGACCAAAGGGCACCATCCAAAGAAACCACTACAGATTTAATATAAATTGTGAATGTAACACTTTCTAAAGTAAATAAGAAAAATATGTCTTGAAACTAATGTAGTGCATTTTAAGGGTTTTAAACAAACATAATTCTTTTTTTTTTTTTTTTTCCCATTTTAAGATTTAAGTTGGGAATGGTTACAAAACCCAGCAGGGAGATGCCAAAGTGATGATGTGCTTTTGATGATTAATCTCCTTGCTGGTTCTTCTCTTGGACAGTGTCCAGAAACTGCCAGTGCCAACCAATCAGATTTTTTGTATTGTCTAACCTGCACTAGAAGCCTGGAACATAATGAGCATACTTCAATAGTTTTTGTGTTTTTTTTTTTTTTTTTTTTTTTTTTTTTTTTTTTTTTTTTTTTTTTTTTTTTTCTCCATGCTTTGAAATTCTAAGTTTTGTATAATCTTGCACAAGGTTATTGACTATTCTATGGCAAAGCTTGATATTTGATACATTGGTGCTTGTTTATGTTGAGTCTTATATTACTTGGCAGTGAAGTACTGACCCTGTGCTGCTTGGATATGAAAGGACTCTATAGGCTGTAAAGTGCACCTAATGGTCGTGTTTTTTTTTTTTTTTTTTGTTTTTTTTTTTTTTTTTTTTTTTTGTTTTTTTTGTTTAAAAAAAAAAAAAAAAAAAAAAAATGTGCATTTTATAATTTGCCTGCAGGAACCTGTAAAGCATTGCATGAGCAATCAGCGGATTGCTGGTGCCATGCAGGCCTCCTGCACATGTCAGTATATCTTGCTTATGGGCAAGCAGATATTGACAATCAATGAACTACCACGGTGTTCCACAGCACTGTGGTAGTTCATTGAGAGTTACAAGCCGACAGCTGCAAAGGCTGTCAGGAATTGTAGCGTTCCTTCATTCACAGAACATTGAATGACATGGGTGGAGCCCCACACATCTGCATGGTCTTTAAATCTGAAAGCTAGTACAGGGAACTTCTCCCTGTACTTCTGACACAGGGAGGGGGGCTGCAACATTGGCAATATGTTACATGTTCCACCCTAAAAGTGGGCTGACCATGTAACATTCCCAAAGGTGAACTTATCCTTTAAGCAGCCAAAAGTCTTTTTGTTTATCCAGTAGGTTGAGCAAATAAAACTGGCTTGTGTCCCTCATCCACACACCCTATGTGAAGGGGGGAACTTCTCTGCCCAAAACACACTGATAGGATTTCTGGCTGTGGCCATCTTGAGTAAGGGCAGGTGATTCATGTAGCATTCTACTTCCTGGAATCAATCTGCCCTTAGTGCAGGCAGTAGTGTGCTTAGCTGAGAGAGTGCCTGCCCTCCTTCCCATTTTAAAACACATGACTATACCTTCCTATCTATTTACTAATGCTAGCAGTGTAAGAGCGAACATAGCTAAATATTGATTGAGAGAGACATTGTTCTGTGACAAGTATAAAATATTTCTTGTCCTGGTGACCCAGTGGTATAGGTCAAATGGGGTATGGGTTTTTTTTTTTTTTTTTTTTTGTATGCTCGACATATACAAAATAAGATTTTTATGGGGTACTTCCAAGATTTAAAAAAAAAACCTAGATATTTTAATGGTACACTAACATTCATCAGCATCTTCAAATATTTTTGTCGCTCAAGTACATCCACTTTTGTCCTCACAAAACATGAGGTTATAGTCATTGTGTTCCCAACCCATCCATAGTGATCCCTAAAGCGGTCTACACATGGAGTTGGGAGGGGGGAGCATGTGAAGGCAGCAGTGTTCTCAATGGCAGTGCAGCCATGCTGGATATTTTTTTTGGTTTCCAATTTTGTAGACTTTTAAAAAAAAAAAAAAAAAAAAACAAAAAAAAACTTTATTTGCTTCTGGAAAAGGAGCGTGCTGTTTAACTTTTAATGTTGATTGCAATAATTGCAATTTTTTTTTTTCCTTGCTTCAAAAAATAAACTGGCTGCTTTCATGATTTGTTTCCTGTGGATTGTGTACACATTGTTTAATCTAGTCATGCTAATTTGGGACTTAAGTACTCATTTCTGCTCTTTGGGGTTGGGGTATGTAGGGTTCACTTCAAACTGACATGTCTTAGTTCCAATGGGAATTGCATTGTTTATGCATTTTAAAGATCTTTATCCTGACCAGTTAAAAAGGGGGTTCTGTATGCTAATATACAGGACTATATAACTGTATGCAGCCTATGAATTTTCTGTCTGACATGTTTCACTATATATAGTCCACCACTGGTAATGGCTTACTGTAAAGAGCATCTGTACCCTTAGTAACAGAAGCATCTACTGTAAAACTTTGAAGTTAGGTTTGATAAATTCAACTATTATAGATCAGCAGAATTCCACTATGTGCATATATATTGTACTTTTTTTTTTTTTTTTTTTGTACTAGTGTATAAAACAAAGAATAACTCACTTTTGTTGCCAGAGTGATAAGTTGAAAATGAGCTTGGTCAATCCAGGTGCTTCCAAATGAAAAGCAGAGCCTACTTGCTGCTCCCAAGTAAACCTTGGGGCTATAGTCTTGTCCTGGGAGAACAACAGAAATCACTTAAGATGCTAATGAACAGTGGCTTTGCATGCTAAGGGATTTATGCACAAGCTAATAGAAACTATTGAATGTGAGTGTGCTGCTTCCCAGGTACAATGAATGGTATTGTTGAATAAACAAAGCTGCAGAGAAGTAAATCTTCTTTACATCTTAAGGTTGTGTGTAAACCTGAAACTATGACCTTACTTTTTGCTCTTTAGTCTAATTATATACTGGGTAGCATTTTGTTATCTGTTTAAGAATTGCTAAATCCCAGTTGATCCTTCCAGGAATCTTGTGACCTGATAATATCCTGTACTCTTTGCTGTCTAATTGACTGTTCCCAGCTATTATTGTGGGCACCAGAACATATTTCCACGTGTAATGGAGGTGGGAGTGTTCTGTAGTCCTGTTACAGGGTCATAGCTCTGCTTTGCCCCAAATACATCACAGCAAGGTGAGCATTGTTGCCCTAGAAGAGGAAGTGTTACTAGCAGGATCACAGTGATAAAGGTGGGGGGGGGGGGGGGGGGGATGAGATCCTGGAGCCCAAAAGAACATTTTTAGCTGCAATTTTCTAACTTTTAAGATCCAGGATCACTAGCGCTTAGAATTTACAGATAATGGAACTTTCCATCATTTTGATCTGACAAATTCCCTCCTTTTTTTTTTTTTTTTTTTTTTTAAAACTGCTTTTAGCAGATCTAAGAGGCTACAAAACTCTCACCACATGCATTAGGTAACCAGGGACTCCATTGGTGTCTTCCAGTGATGGCTGCTTTTATTACCACTTCTACATGGAATTTTTTTTTTTAAGCCCTGTGTGCATGAAGAGGGTAAGTGATGGGCAACCAAAGTTCATTCTGTGAACTACTTCATAGAAACCTGCACTGAGATATGTAGAAGCTTCCATTGCAGCTGCTACTACAAATATACCGATACAGAACAAGCATGCAGAGAAATTGGAGTGAAGACAGAATGGCTATAACTCCTGCCCCCATCATATACACTATGAGAATATTGTGCCGGGTGCCCACTGCATGCGTGAGAAGCACTGCGCTTTGTGAAAGGCCCAGCGTCTTCTGTTCTGGGACCTGACCATTCACAAAGCGCAGTGCTTCTTGCGGATGCGCAGTGGACACCCGGCTTTCACAGCTGGGTGCCCACACTAAAGTTGCTGGCGCAGGAAGACTGCACAGTGCTGGACCGAGGAACAGGTAAAGACTTGCTGCAGAGAAGAGCTGAGCAGCCAGACCATTATTCTGACACAGCGGAAAAACCGGACTGGTCACTCCAAAAGACGCACTAACATTCCCCCCCCTCTTCTTCTTTTTTTTTTTTTGGGGGGGGGGAAGAGAGTGCATCTTATGGAGTGAAAAATACAGTAGTTTGTACAAATAAAAAACAAAATAACTTTGTTATGCACTGAATCGTATGCTACGCTGTCCCCTACCACAGCCACAATGGACAGCTGCTGGAGAGGACACCCCAGTGGTTTACGGTATTGTTCCTGTTCCCATCACTTTTCGGTTTGGTAAAATGTTGTTAACAGGAAAGGAAGTGAGGGTAAGTCTTTCTAATGGAGCTCCAGATAGCAGTAAGAGCCTGACAGGGGTACTTGCCATCTTCCACTTTATCCAAAACTGATCAAAGTTTTGATTGGACATACACTTTAA